AGCTTCATTAAACAAACACTACAGCCTGAAATAAAAAGATCAGATAAACAACAACACAATTGTAGTGGGACACCTCAATACCTCAATATTGCAAATAGGTTGACAAAGAAACATGAGAGTTGAACTGTACCTTCAAACAAATGGACTTAACAGATGTCTAGAGTGTTCCATCAAAGAAGAGAATACTGGGCCGGGGATTTAGCTCAGTGGTTTCGCCGCCTGCTGCGCAAGCGCAAGGACCCAAGTTCGATCCCCGGTACCAAAAAAAAAAAGAAGATAATACTCATTCTTCTTTGTAGCACATGAAACTTTCTTCAAAATAGACCATAAAACATGCTTAAATAAATAGAAAAGAATCAAAATTACCCTATGCATATTATCAGGTTATAGTGCAATGAAACTAGAAATCAATGGAAAAGGAAACTACAGAAATTATACAAACTCAAGGGGATTTAAAAATACACTCTTAGGTAATAAAGAAGTCAGGGAAGAATCTGAACAGTTCCTATAATCAAATGATAATGCCAGTACAATATACCAGGACATATGGGATACAATAAAAATGGTCCTAAGGGGGAAGTTTATAGCTACGAATGACTACATCAGAAGACAAAGTGAGCCCAAATAAATAGCCTAATGATGCACCTCAAGATCCTATAAAAATAAGTACAATCCAAATCCACAGCTAATATAAGGAAGGTTAATATGAAGACCAGAGCAGAAATTAATGAAACAGAGACAAAAATATAAAGAATCAATTAATTGAAGAGATGTTTCTTCAAAAGACTAAACAAAACAGACAAACCTTTAGCCAATCTTAAGAAAGAAAAGACATATATCAATGGAAGTAGAAGCAAAAAAGGAAAAATCACAACAGATACTGCCAAAATCAAGATTATTAGTAACTACTTCAGAAACCTGTATTCTAATCAATTGAAGAATCCAGAAGAAATGATAGATTTCTAGGTATATATAAATTACCAAAGGTGAAGCAAGAATATATAAAAATCCCAAGCAATTCTGTAACAGGCAATGAAATTGAGGAAGTAATAAAAAAAAAAACCTACTAAATAAAACAGCACCAGACCTGATGGATTCACCACTGAATTCTACAAGAACTTCAGGAGGTATCTAATGCTAATACACCTCAGATTCTTTAATGAAATTGAAAGGGATGGAATTCTGCAAAACTCATTCCTGGAAGCTAGCATTACCTTGATTCTAAAACCAGACAAGGGCTCAACTGAAAACAAAAAAAAAAAGATAACTACTACAGGCCAATCTCTTTAATGAACACAGATGCAAAAATCTTCAACATGATACTGTCAAAGAGTACATATCATATCAATTAAAAGATCACACATCATGACCAACTAGGCTTCATCTCAGGGATTCAAGGATGGCTCAACATATGCAAATCAATAGCTGGCCAGTTAGCTGAGTTGGTTAGAACATATGCAAATCAATATATGCACATCACATAAACATAAACAAGGACAAACATCACATGATCATCTCAGTTTAGTCACAGAAAAAGTCCTTGAAAAATCCAGCATCCATTCATGATAAAAAAAAACCCTAAGAAAATAAGACTAGATGGACTTTATCTCAATCTGATAAAAGTCACTTATGACAAATCTATTGCCAACATCATATTATATGGGGAAAAATGGAAAGTTTTCCCCCTAAAATCAGGAACAAGACAAGGATGTCCATTTTTACACTCTGTTCAATATAGTATTCAAAATATTAGTCAGAACAACCAGGCAAGAGAAAGAAATAAAAGAATAAACACATGAAAGGAAGAAGTCAAACTATCCTTATTTGAAGATGACATGATTCTTCACATGAAAGGTCCAAAAAACTCCACCAAAAGACTCCTTGACCAATAAACCAATTCAGCAAGGTAGCAGGATACAAAATTAGCAAACAAAAACCAATACATTCCTGTACCCCAATAATGAACCCACTGAGAAAGAATTTAGGAAAACAATACCATTCACAAATAGCTTCAAGAAAAAATAAACACTTTGGGATTCACCAAACCAAGGAAGTAAAATACCTCTATTTTGAAAACAATAGTACTCTGAAAAAGAGATCAAAGAGACCATCAGAAAATGGAAAAATATCCCCAATAGTGTCAAAATGGACATATTTTTAAAACTTACATGCAGATGATAGTACAATCCCAATCAAAATACCAACAGCCTTCCACATGGAACTAAAAAAAATCCTAAAATTCATATGAAACTAGAAAAGACCTAGAATATCAAAAGTGACCTTGGGTAAAAAGAACAAAGCAGGAAGCACCTCACAAGCCTTGATTTTAATTTAGACTACAAAGCTACAGTGATAAAAAATAGCATGATACTGGTACAAAAGCAGATGTACATCAGTGGAACAGAATAGAAGATACAGAAACAATCTCAGGGACAGTAAACTATCTGATAATTGACAAAGGGGCCAAAAACATACATACTGGAGGAAAGATAGCCTCTTTAAGAAATTGTGCTTGGAAAATTGGCTCTCCATATGCAGAAGATTGAATCTAGGTCCATATCTGTCACCCTATACTAAACTAAAATCAAAATGGATCAAATATCTAAATATTAAAACACAAACTGTTAATGTGCCAGAAGATAAAATAGGTAAAACTCTTGAAGACATAGGCATAGTGAGAGAGTTTCTGCACAGAATTTCAAGTGCTCAACAAATAACACCAAGAATCAACAAATGTAATTCTATCAAATTAAAAATCTGTGCAGCAATAGAATGAAAAGACAACCTACACAATGGGAAAAATATTTGCCAACCATACCCAAGAGAGAGGGCTAATGCCTAGAATATATGAGAATCTCAAAAAAAAGTTGATCCCTTAGATAAAAGACTCAATTAAAAAATGAGAAACTGAAATAAATATTTAGACACTTCTCAGAGGATGAAGCACAAAGGCCAGTAAATACATGAAAAAATTTCAATATCCCTGGGCATTAGAGAATTCCAAATTAAATCAACACTGAGATTCCATCTTACTCCAGAAACAAGGGCTGTCATCAAGAAATCAAACAAGAACAAATGGTGGTAAGGCTGCAGGGAACCATGGACCCTTCTACATTGTTGGTGGGAATGTAAACTAGTACAGCCACTTTGGAAATCAGTATGGAGATTCCTCAAAAAGATAAAAATAGAAATTCCAATTGACCCAGATATTACCCTTCTAGGTAATCTTCCTGAAAGAACTAAAGTATAGAATTCTAGAATTCCAACCTTATCCTTAAGAAGCATGAGAATTCAAACAAGAGCAAATGGTGGCAAGGCTCCTGGGAAGAATGAAGATGATGAAGGTGAAAAATAAGTTTCTCCAAAGGGCTTAGATTCCCTGAGTCAGCACTCAGCTCCTCCATGTCCAGACATCCCAGCTGAGGTTGAGGACATGGCTGACTCCTCAGGTACTGGCATTGTATGATTCCTTCCTCTTCAAAGGAATTAGTATGGACCCAAAGATCCTTCCTTGTCCATTAAGGTCAGAAGTAAGTATTGTAGATTTCAGTGGTTAGTTTGGAGGTGTCCAAAATTAAAAGTCTCAGCTTATGATGCTGTTAGACCAAAGCAGTTCCTGGAATGGAGGGTTCTTTATGTGTTGAGCACCCTTCCTGAGCCTTTCTCTTCAAGTTGCTGAAGACAGTCTTGTTGTGCTCCTCCCTGTATGATATCTCTGTTAATACAGACTATCCAGTGAGGCTCACAGAGCCTTCACCATCACTATGCCCTGGTTGTGGCCCTGAGCAACAGTGGAAATCAAACGATTTCATATTCCACTATTCCTGGGAAGGCTTCTAACTGCCCCGGACCAGGCTGAGGTACCACAAATGGTTGGCTTGGGCTTTCCTATGTTTTTCATCCATAAAGTGCTTACTCACTATGGGGAGAACAGGCTTTAAGATCACATTCATATCCCACTCATCACTTGACACTTGGCACCTCAATGAACTGACAGGGTAGGAATGATGGAAGGGGTTTTGAGCAACACTTTCATCCCTAAGAGACACCAGGTAATTGTGATGTGGGGAGGAGAAATATTGTCATCTATTGCCTCCGTGAGGATTATCATAACCAGAAATACTCACATAATAAGTGGTTAAAACTTACTAACATGGCCACTGTGCATCTACTTTGTTCTTTTTTGTTGGTTTAGGTGACAGAACTTTGCTATGTGACCCATGTTGACCTCAAACTCCTGGTATAAAGTGAGCCAAGTGGCTGGGACTACAGGTGCATACCACCAAGACTAGATCTACTTTATTCTTAAAGGCTTGGATGAAACTTTAGGCCAAGGTGGTAACTGTGTTAGATAGAGACCTCTCCAGTTCCTATGCACACACTGATGATCAACAACAGCCCTGTTCTCCACACTTCAAGTGTAGCAAGAAACCTCCCCAACATGGACCCCATTCAATCTCCATTATATGATTAGAATTATCATCATGTGAAGTAAAATTAATATTCTATTCTTGCTTTACAATGTAAGATTTATATAACATTCCTTTCCCCCTTCCTTCTAAGAGAAAATTCATAAAGAAATTTAGAATTTATTTTCCTTTAATGCTGAATACTATTTTGGAAGATATCATTATACATATATTGAACCAGTCTATACTGATTAAGAAATAGGTTATGCATATTATGTTTATTGTACTTTCCTTCACCTTTTAAATTACATTTCACTATGAGCAGCACCTTTATATAATATAAATTACAATACAATTTGGTATACTCATCAGTAATGCCCCTGAGTAGTATCAGAGCAAGTCAGCTTAGCAGAGGTAAAAATCAATTTGCTATGTGATAGGATTATAGGCGCCAAAGGGAAGCAGAGTTTTCTTAAAGGATCAGACCTTACTAGACCCTTTACTCTAAAGACTTTAACTATTGAAAGAGGTTAAAGGAATATTGTTTAATCAAAACAACCTTTGCAATTAGAATTCTTTTTGTAGACATACCGTGCTCTTTCATGGAAGCTTTATCCAAAACATATATTAGTTCATACAGTCCTCCTAGAGACCCAGATTTACTGAAGTGGGTTCCATACATTTCCAAAAATGCAAAATATTCTCCCTTTGCATAAGTAGCTGGCAGAGCTTTTATATCCTCCAAGAATGTTGCTGTCAGCATGACATCTCGGGTTCTCATCACAAATCTACCCAGTTGAATTTCTCCTTTCACATGCAGAAACATTTTTTCCTTTGGTGTAGAGCAGGCGAAGGAGAGAAATGAGTTTTAGCACTATTATTTTAAACAAAACATAAAATCTAGAATATTCACAGTAATAATTTTTTAGCAGTGACCATGAGATACTACTTTATTCCACTTGAGAGGCTAAACTTAAATATTATCAGTATGAGGGCCTGGCTTTAGCTCAGTGGTTACGCTGCCTGCTGCGCAAACGCAAGGACCTGAGTTCGATCCCTGGTACCAAAAAAAGAAAAGAAAAGAAAAGAATATTATCAGTATGAACTGTTGACGAGGATGTGCACCAACTGGAACTCTAATACAGAGTTTTACACTGGTCAGAGTGTAAAATGATATAGCCACTTTAGAGACCCATTCAGCAGTTTCTCATAAAGTTAAACAATCCTATGACCAGCAATTCTACTCTTATTCACTTAAAAATAACGGGAACATTCTCCACAAAAATACCTGTGTGAGAATGTCACAGCAGCAATTGTTGGAATAGTGTAAAATTGAGAATGACACAAATACTCATCAATGGAGGATGTGATAAACAAATTGTGGACCATTCACAATCAAAAAGAACAAACTACTGATACATGCAACAACATAACTAAATCTCAAATATATCATGCTGAGTGAAAGAAGTCATACATGGGAAATATATACTATATAATTCCGTTTAATGAAGTTCTCAAATGGGAAAAAATAAGTATGGTCAGAGAAATCTGGTCAGTGGTTGGCTATCAGTTGGTAGCAAATTGACTGTGAAGAGTGTGATAGAATTTTCTTGGTTTGATGAAAATGTTCTATATCTTGTTTGAAGATATACAGTCTAAATCTTCTTTGTCACTACAAAGGTGTATATAATAAATCAAAACATTTAAATCTTTCCATTTTATTATGTGGAAATTTTAGCTCACCAAGATGATTTTTTAAATGTTAACAATGGAAGAATATATTTTATATATAAGGTTCAATCTCCTCATTTGGAGGATGAAAAACTCTGACCCAAACACATCAAGTTATTTGTCCCAGGTCATACAAAGATTATATGGCGTGAACTTTACTAAAAATGTAGGTCTGTGATCTCCCTGTTGCTTCTACTATGCCCTCACGATCTTTAATGACAAAGATCGGACAGACAGTATTTTAAAACATGACTCTGAAGGCAACTTAACTCCATGGTTAAATGTTCCTGGGGCAGGTGATGGTGTGGGTGTTCAAGAGAAAACTGTGACAGTGAACTATATGAGTCCATGTGTTAGCCTGGTCTGAGGAAAACTAGACTACAATTGACACCCATGTTTTTGAAGATCGATGTTTTGAGCTTCTCCTGCTATCTCCATGGTTAACATATGGTGATTGTGTGGGCATTAAAACATTTGATCTCTTTCTACAAGGTAAATCTTAGTGTATGTGGACATTGTACCAAACTTTCTGTGTCCTAGGAGCACATTGCTTAGATAGTTTAAATTAGGTAATAGTGGGTGAATCAGCCTCGAACAAGAATCTTATAGGAATTCACTCCATTTATTATAAGTTAAATGAGCTCTCCATCTTTTTTTTTTTTGGTACCGGAGATGGAATTTGGGTCCTTGCGCTTGCTCAGCAGGCGGTGAAACCACTGAGCTAAATCCCCGGCCCACCATCTTCTAACTTACATAATGTTCTCAGTGGCATTACAAAGATCCAGAATCTCAAAGATCCTTTTTATTGTTGTGAAAACAAGGAAGTGTATCTTAGAATTTGGAGTTAGACAGACATGTATTGTTCTCTGGTTCAGTTTATTTCAGTGGTAGGTCTTAGAGCATTTCGATCCAAATACACAATTATTTCTTCCATCTTAATACAATAAAAAAAATTATCTTGGTCTCACTGGTTTGATCAATTGTAACTCATGTTCTTGTCCTTGTTAGAAGCAAAATTCCTTGAAAGAGTTTTCTATACTTCCAATTTCCCTCTTAACAGTTTCTCTAAAATCTAATTCAATAATGTTATTGTCCTAAGAAAACATTCTTGTTAAGGTCACCAATGACCTTTATAATCCTAAGACCAGTAATTACCATCCTCATCTTTGACATATTAGCACATTTGACACAGTCCACTTCTCCCTTCTCCTAGGGTTTCTTTTCTTGCCTTGTAGGACAATGCTTCTCAAACTGTAAAATATGGACAAGTCACCTAGAGAGAACCTTATTATGATGCAATTTTGATTTAAGTCTGTGTTAGAACCTAAGGTTATAGCTTCTCAGTGATGTAGATATTGCTGATCCCTGGACCACATTGAGTACCAAGACTTCAGGGCACTGTGCTGGTCACTTCCTTTGCTGATTCCTCTTTTTACAAATTTCTTTCTGTGGAAGGTACCCAGATTTAACTTTGATCATCTAATTTTAATGTATTCTAACTCTTCTGATGGCCTCACCAAACCCCAAGACTTTAAGCTCTACCTATATGTCAACAACTCTCAAATTTACAACTCAAACCCAGACTTCTTTCCCAAACTCCAGGATCATACTTTCCTATTTGGCATCATTAACTGAATACCTAGTAGATATTTCACACCTAACTTCACTGAAACTTGACTACTGGTCTTCTTCGCTAAACATACTCACCAGGTTTTCTCCATCAGCAATTCCATCCTCTTAGTTGCTAAGCTTCAAACCTAGAGTCCTGTTTGACTCTGTAACTATTGTTATAATAACCACCATCTCCTACTGGGTTCCTTCAGCAGCTTTTAATAAGCCTCCTCACCTTAGTACCCATAATCCCTTCTCAATAGAGTGGCCATCGTAATCATTTAAAACATAAAATAGAATATTCACAATCAGTTTGAAATCCTCCAGTGACCTACCATGTCACTCAGAGAACAAGTCAGCAGACACAATGGGCTTTGAGGTTCTTCATGACCTGATTCAGGTGACCTCTCAAATCTTTTCTCCTCCCAACTCAATTTGAATTGTCACATCTGGTTTTTTCTACCTCATCTAACAGTTTCTTTTTCTCAGAACATCATTCTAAATCTGACTGCTTGGTCATTTCCTTGCTTTTGAATTTTTGCTCAGTTCTCATCTGCCAGGCATTCCTGATTCCCCAATGTACTTCTCTCATCTGCCAGGCATTCCTGATTCCCCAATGTACTTCTTCTTTTCCTTTTCCCGTACCACTTATCACTTTCTAAATACTATATAGCTTCCCCCTTTTCTTAATACATTTATCATTTTGGGCTGTCTCTTGTGAGCTTCCAGCTATATGAGGACAAGAATCTTCATCAGCTTGAGTCACAAAAGCATTCTAAGTACCTAGGATGATGTCTGGCCACATACTAAGTAGATGATTAAATATTTATTGAATGACGTAAAAGATTTCCAACTGAACACTGGGTGATGGCAGTGTTCATACCCATATAAGGCAATTACATAATTAGGCAAGATGTAAATACTAAGAGTTATTATTATTTTAAATAAAGTATCTAGGCGACTGCAATATTAGAAAAAGAATAATGAGCATTTTATTGTCATATTTATTACAAAAATATTTTATATGTATTCCAATGGTGATGAAACAAACCTCAAAACCTAGATTAAATATCAAAAACACATTTTCAGTCACTGGTTAAAAGAGTGACTACAAAGCAAGCAGACCATTTTCATCTGTGTGAATAAAATTTCATGGCATTATTACTTTAGAGACACACTTTGTAGTAAGTTAAAAACTATCATTCTGAGGCATTGCAATGAATTCTCAGAATCTCACAGTGTAATTCTTCATTGTAATTGTGATGAGTGTATAAACTGAATGTTCACTTGAAAAGTATGCTCTGAATTCTAAGCACAGACTCCTTGCTCAGTATTACCATTTGACTCTCTACCACCCAAGTTACCATCAGAGTCCTCCCTAGTTATGTTGTTTTTTTCTGATTTCTTAGCTATCTACTTGAGGATTTGATGTTATCTTGTTTTCTTTCATCTCTCATATGAGCTTTATTTGCTCTAAATATCTAAAGAGTGGGTTTGGCTAGCTTGAAATATATATCATTTTAATCTCTATGACAAGTATTTGAAAGTCTTACCTTCTTTGAAGAATACGACAATAACTTTTGATAAGTTTCACTTTTGGAATATGAAAATTGAAAAGTATTTGGGTCATTTTGTTGATCTGAAGAGTTTGTTCTCTGAGAAACTTCATTTTTACTTGTATCAACTTCAGTGGGTATAAATTTTAGAGCTAAATGAAAACCTGATGTTTGTTCTTGGATAATTCTTTGGAAGGCTTGAAGCTGTTCTTCATAATATTCTGCTCTGAGGGTTTCATCAGCTTTGGTCTAAAAGAGTATAACAAAGAGTAGTTAAAAACAAATAAAAATCAAACCATTATCTGAAAGGTAGTACAGAAAAGAAATTAAGAAGGAAGATGCTGGGGCTGGGGATTTAGCTCAGTGGTGCCACTGCCTGCCTTGGAAGCTCAAGGTCCTGAGTTCTATCCCCCGTACCAAAAAAAAAAAAAAAAAGAAGGAAGATGCTGAAGTCAGGCTGCTGGGGCTCAGAAATGGGTTCTGTGACTTTGAGGACGCTGCATAATAACTCTCTGAGCTTAGTCTGACTTGTAGTCTGAAAAATAGGGATGTTCATCACACTCAGCGCAAAGGTCAATATGGGGATCCAACAAGGCAATACTCATGAAGGATTTAGAATATAGCAAGCTTTCCAAAGTGAATATATTAACAATCAAGAAGCAAGTTACTAAACAGGAACATGTATACTTCCCATTTATATAAAAAAGAAAGCAAAGGAACAAAGTTATCACTGAAGACTTATAGGCCATGCACTGTTTGAACTATTTTACATATGATTTTAAGTATAAAGGCTAGGATTTAAGCCCTGTTCAAATATTATTCTTCTAAATTCATACACTATTATTTGTCACAAAAATGCTTTCATAAGCATTAAAATTACTAGAAATGTAAGCAAAATACCAAGTGCTTGCCTTGAGAGGAGAAAATATGACATGGAAATCCAAGGAGCAGCAGGCTTACCTTTCCTTGCATATTTTTTCTACTTTAATTTTTTGCAAAAAAATTAAACCATATACAATTTTCATAATGACCTAAATAATCCAGTTAAAAATTAAAAACTTTTAATTAAAGCATTCTTTGCCAACTTAACTACAGGCAGGCATCAATGTGCTATGGCTTGCTTAGATGTGGTTTGAGTTTGTCTCCCAAAGTTTCATATGTTGGCAGTTATAGGGTAGAAAGTTTTAAAAAAATTAATTTTATTGATACATTTTAGGAATTCAAAATAATGATATTCATCATTGAAAATTTGCACCTTTACATAATCTCTCTTGGTTCTTATTTGGTCCCCATTCCCCCGCCATCCTTCAACTCCTCCATTCCTTCACATTTACAAAGATTTTGTTTCCATTTTTTCATATTAATTCCATTCCCTTCTTTCCTTTCACCTACCCCTCCCA